CACCACCAACCAAGCAGAAGCACTAGAGTGCGCTCAAGTTCAAGGTCACAAAATCAGAACTGAGTGTGTGGGTGTATTGGTATGTGACTTTGGAGACCTCTAGTTTGTGGTGGTGGTGCTCTATGTCATTCATCATTCTCAACCAACCGATCAGTGTGATTTGATGTATGTCGAAGGGTCTGTACTTGTCAATCTCTTCTGAAACTTTGCGGTTGAAGTGAGATGAAGTCCACTGCCTCTACTTCGTGCGTTGACCCGATCCTGTCATGTGACGGTCTTATTCAGGCCACTCGACTGTCCTCACTAGGCGGGTGGGAGTGAAACCCGTTGTCCCTATGATAACCTGTCCCACTAACCTTATGTGGGAATTGCAGTAGGTGTGTGAAGGCCACACAAAATTCATTTCTTTCCCTCTGTGTACATGGGGGCAAAGTTCTTTTTTTTTTCTAATTTTTTCTGTGCATTTGACCAGTGCTTGAGGAGGCAAATACTGCCATCGCCATCATGAGAGAAAAGCTGCTGCATTAGAGGTGGGATTTTTGTTGACACAACTGTGTGACATTTATTCAATGTGATTTGTTGGCGTTTTGGTAACAACCAACCTCCTGTTGTCCTCTCTTCCTCTTCAAGGTGACTGTCAATTATGTGTATCTTTTAGGTGTTCCTTTTCCGCCAAACTTCCTAAAGGTGGCCAAGGCCATCTTGAAACGCCTTTTCCGGGTCTATGCCCACATCTACAATGTACACTTCCGTGAGGTTCAACTCCTTGACGAGGCCACTCACTTGAACACCTCTTTCAAGCATTTCGTCTACTTTGTACTTGTAAGTAGCATGGTGATGTGTTGGTTAATTTTCGCTATTTCTGTCTATTATCTCTGGAATATACATAATTTTATGGAATAAAAGAGGCTACTGTCTGGTCTTTTCGTTTCTGCCAGCTTGAAGTTACCACAATTTTTCTTGATTTTGACATCATCGGACATAATGAAAGTATCGTTGAAGTCTAACTACTTGGGCAGAAGAGGAGTGTCAAATTGGAAGGAGTAGTGGGAGGCAGATCCAAAGTAGAATGAAAGCTCTCACGGTTTGTTTGGCACAGGTCTGAGAACAGCGTTTACATCACGCTATCACGCATTGTTCATTGTTGGGGTAAGTAGAACCACCGACGTGAGGAAGCCTAGCCAAGTAGGGCAAAATAATTTTCTTCTTGACTTATTTTTGCTTCCTCCTTCTCTCCAAACGTGCAGGAGTTCGACCTAGTACGATCTGTGGAACTGGAGCCCCTGCAACCCGTAATTGACGTGTTGACAGCACCTAAGACTGATCGTCCCATGAGTGGCAACAGTCCCAACAGTGGCACCTCCCACCATCAATCTGGAGGCAAAAACACTAACGGAGTGGTGCAGGTGGAGCCTCTGCCGCCGTCTCCTCCGGCACCACGACCATCCACTACTTCCTCCACCCGAAATTGACCTCTCACCTCCTCCCTACTACCGTCCTATCATGCAGACCAACCTTTTTTCCAGCCTTTAATAATCGTTTGACTTAATGATAGACGAGTAATGCGTGTGTGTGTGTGCGTATGTGCCTTGCTATTTCTTCATTTCTTCTTATATTTGCGCAAAACTGACACAGTTCTGATTTTGTGACCTTGAACTTGAGCGCACTCTAGTGCTTCTGCTTGGTTGGTGGTGGAACACGCATAGCGACCTCATCTCATCGCTGTAGAATCTGTTAGTAGAGACGTAGTGGATGTCACAAGCCAATAGACGAGTGGACATTGTGCCCATATTCTGTAGCCACTCAAACAGACATTGGTTTGACGCTTTCATTTAACTCTCTGATGGTGACATCCAACGTGGTGCTGGGGAAGGTCACCAACACGTGTCACATTGGGACGGTGGTTTGCGTGAGCACTTCACTTAACTTCACCTCACTGTATTCGACTTCACACGGACGGAATTGCAGACGTTCGTTGTGGTGGCAGAAGTGGGAAGGAATGGTGGGAGAGGAGGTTGGTGGGTGGGTGTGTGGGCGGTGGTGGTGGTGGAGGTGTGGAATGACACACCCGGTGGTCTGACAAGTGGTTGAGGTTCATCCACATACCTCCGTACTCGCACACTTGCATAAACGTGGCGTAGAGTGGGACAGAGCGCATCACGTGGCATAGCAGTTCTCGCACTTTCACTCCTCCCCACAAACATCTGCCGCGTGAGAAATTCACAGTCATCGTCATGCCGCTCCCCACTTTTGTCACAGCATTCCACACTTACCCCTCAATAGCAGTGCAGTTTTTTGGAAAGCAGCAACACCCACTTCACGCCAATGCTCCAACCACAAAGTCATCCGCCAAATCTCACTCGGATGGGGTTTGGGCACACACGCACTCATTCTCCCTCCTCTAGTCCTCCCACTCACACCTCCCACCGATCCATCCATTCCACTCCACTCCACTCCACTCCACCCTACTCTGGTGTTCATGCATGCAGGATGCACAGATCCACACACCAATGCCACACCACCACAC